TTTGGGCTTGTCTGAACGAAATAGAGGCCTCTATTGTTCGTCCTAGCATAGTAGAGGAGACGATAAGTAAGTCTGTATCCTCCCCTATCAAGGTTGTGTGCTGATGTTCTGAGGCCTTGAATACAGCTTTCACAATGTCCACGTCTGCATTGATAACAGTGCCTTCAGCCCTTCTTCTACAGCTCCACTGTCACAAGATTGATAAGTCCTTGTTTTTTGCAAAATCTGGAAAGGAAATCATCCTTTCTTCCCACAAACACAGTCTCTGCATTGAAGTTAACGATTGTCTTTGATATTGTCAATAATAACCATCAAAAACGACCGTTGCTTTACCATAATGGCGTATGGTAAAGTCCGCATATGACGTAATGGTCACCCTTTTTCCATGCCAGGTCATGAACCAGGGAGCCACGGTCAAGGACATAATGCTCAGATGGTGTGATGGAATCCAGAACAGTTTTGTTAGATTTCTTGCTTGATGACTCCATGTGCCCTTGGGTGGTGATGGCGCAGTGGATGACACATGCCTTTGGTGTGAGAGACACAGGTTTGAATCCCCTGTGAGACACCAATGTGTCCCTGAGCAAGACACTTAACCCCTAGTTGCTCCAGAGGCGTGCGATCTCTGACACATATAGTAAGTCGCTTTGGACAAAAAACGTCAGCTAAATGAATAAATGTAAATGTGTCCAACAACACTGAATAGAGAGTTACATGACATAGGCTAAATCGTTTAAATCTTCACCCTTAATAAAGACAAAAACCTTACAGTCATCTGACAAAATCATGTATTCCATTAGTATATAATCATGTCAGTGTAATTTAGACAAGTCCAATGGATTCATAGTCCCAGAAAACATGGGGTTAGACACCAATATTACTTGGCTAGGTCAAATAATGAAGGAGTTAGGATATTTTAAGGGTTTCCTGCGTGCCTTGGATGCCATCTTGAAAATGAAAGTTTGACCACTTTCTCGTGGTCAAACTTTGCTAAACTTTTAGTATGTTATAAGGAGATCTAATACTACAACAAACAGCTGAGAAACCTTTTGTTAGAATTTGTTTAGGGTTTGGTGTTTTTTTTCTTCTTCATATATGCAGCTGCCTAAATACCCATAAAACATTTGCACTGTTTCCACCTAATGTGTTCAAGAGAACAACACTTTCACTTCCTGGGAAATTGGCATAAAATATCTGTAATAAAAATGGTTTCTGCAATCAGGAAAGCCCTTTTGGTAACACTTTATAACTGCACGCTATTAATCATTAGTTAAGCATGAATGAACAGTTAATTCATCATTTATAAAACATTAATAGACATTAATAAGCAGTTTATAAATAAAGCTATAATGCTTTTTTCTTGATTTATGAGCATATCTATAATGCGTTTAATAATTGTATTTTCATACTTTGTTAAAGATCAATTTCTAAATGAAGTATGGCATTATTTACAAACCAGTTATTTAAGAGTTGTCAGTCATTCATAAGATCACTTAGAAAGTGTAAATAAACGTAGTAATAGGTAGTTATAAAACATTTAGTAGTGGTTAGTTAACTATTTTGTGAGCTCATCTAAAGTGATGACTATTCATGCCTTGTAAAGCATTTATAAAGGCGATTTAAAGGCTCATCAATCTTCTAAACAACACAACACAGTGATACAGACCATAGAAATATTTAACAGCCTTTAAATCTCCTTTATAAATGCTTTACAGCACGAATGGTCCTCTCTTTAGATGAGCTCACGAACATAGTTAACTGACCACTACTATATGCTTTATAACTACCCGAATTAACCCTGAATTACAGCATTAATACATGTTAATAAAGCATTTATTAACACACTAAGTAACCATCACTATGTCTGAATAATAAGATGTATGAATGTACATTCCAATTGGGTAACACTTTATAATAACTACACGCTAATCATTAGTTAAGAATGAGCTGCATTTATAAACTGCTTATTAATGTATATTAATGCTTTATGAATGATGAACTAACTGTTTACTCATTCTTAACTAATGATTAGCGTGTAGTTATTATAAAATGTTACCGCTCTTTTTTCATGTATACTTCATAAATTACTTTCTCCTCAGAGCGTGTATGAAATGCAATAACTGTCATGTTATCTTGCATTCGGATGCAGACGCCTGGTGTTTGAGAATGTAATCGGGAATGAGATAGTTCTGGGGATTATGCCCAAACATTGTGATAACAAAGTTTGTCTCAGGCATTTCAGAATGACCAAATCAACATTTGAGATACAATACAATGAAATTGTTCTCCTGGTTAGTCCTGTTATCCAATCACATCCTCTGTCGAGCATTGAGGGATTTATCCAGTAAATGTGTTATGCACATGTCTTCTTACAGGACAAAGAAATGATCGGCCTCGACTAAGTGAATACGTCTTTCGAACTTTGATGCACATCTTTGCATTTCAGTGCAGCATTTTTTATCTCGATATCCCAAAAATGGATGGAAACAGCTATATAGACTACATTCATTTGTCCATTTTAGAGTCTTTTGATCACTGTTGCTGTATAGAAAAGAGCTGCATAAAGATTCTTCACAGACTAACCACTAATTCATCTCAACCTAATTGACATCTGCATTTTCCCAGCAGTCATTAGCACTGTGTCAACATTGCTGAAGAGTCTCCTGACAGCCATGTGGTCAGTGAGGACAGAATACTGTTTACAAGGTGCAGGCAGTTGTGTGTTTCAGTCATTCACCTTCTCCTTACTTTGACAGACAAATGAGGTCTGTCTGAAAGCCAGTAAATGTGTTTAGTGGTTTGTAGTACTTCCTCTCCACATTAGTCATGTTGGATATTACTCAGAACCCTGCAAAGGTGAGTATCTGTAGCTTGTTCCTGGACATTTGTTTGCTACACTCTAAAAATGCTGGGTTGTTTTAACCCAACTTTGGGTCAAATATGGACAAACCCAAACATTGGGTTAAAAATGAAATTAAAAAATGTAACCCAATGGCTGGGTTTGTCCATATTTGACCCAAAGTTGGGTTAAAACAACCCAGCAATTTTTAGCGTGTAGGTCGTGAATATACAGTACACAATGAAGTCAATGGTTTGCATGAATGTTTTGAACTTTAATTCAATTACCTCATTATTTTTACAACTTAAAATGACAGCTAGCCTTGAAGAAAAAGAGTTATGTGCAAGTTGTGATCTAGCTATACAGTAAGAAACATTGTTTAAAAGGACTATGCATTGTTTCTTAGGACTATGTGCCTTTTAAATGTTTAAAATAAAAAAAACTCAATAAAATAGACCCCAAAACAGACCAGAATATTGCTTCATGCCCAGTATTTTATAAAGTTGTGCTGATAAAGAGATGGGTATGGGAGATCAACGAAAGGGTAAAAATTAACTAAACGTTCATTTTGAGTACAGAACCACACTCATGACAACAAGTTACTAAATGTGACAAAAAACAACAACAACAAGGCAAATAAAACTGGCAAACTCTATCAAACAATGCAACACTTCTCACAAGAGCAATGTTTCACTGTCTCACAACCCTCTGACGGTTAATGCAAATCCAAGGCAAATGAAGACAAAGAATCAAAGAAGTTCACAATGAGGAAGGTCAATGCATTATTTAAGAGGAAAGGAAGAGAGGACGCAGATTAAACAGAGCTGTCACTCAAGCCATGTGTGCCTGTCACAGATCAGACTGCTTACATTGCTGACTGATAGGGAACTTCACTCTAATACTGTGCCGAGAAATATCTTCATATCTTCATATCTTTTAGTTTGTGAATCCTAGGATTAAGTGGTTTGCATTTTTGTAAGTGATGATTGATCTATCAAGATATGGTTTGACATCATGTCAGTGTGCAAGATCTTAAAGGACAAGATGTTACAAAATACTAATATGAACATGGTCGTGCATGTTCCACTCATAAAACTCAACTCAACTTTATTTATAAAGCACTTTCAACATCATGAGCGGAACCAAAGTGCTGTTCAGAAGGTGTTAAATAAAATAAAGACATAAAACAATGCAAACAACTCACATAGCATTATCAAATGGCAAAGAAAACAAATACTTTTTAAGCGCACTCTGAAAAACACCCAATGAAGTACAAGTGCTGTCCATTTAAATGTCCATATAAGCAGCATTGTGAAATAGAGACGCATGTGGCATCTTTCATTAATGCCCTTAGGGTTGCACATTTTTCACTTCATCCTCAAAGTGCACTTCGTCAAAGTCCACCTGCTGCCAGTGGCCCGGTGCCCACCGTCTGTTGAGTCTTATTTGTGGGCCATGCCTGCTCCATGTGCTCATCCTCTCTCACTCCATGGCAGGTCTTGGCACTAAGTGTGGGGTCTGTTTACATCATCACTGGTGGGTGGACGTACCTCAATGCACAGTTCTGAAGCCTTTTTTGTGTCCTTATCATAATTTGACTGTGGAGAACTTTTAATTGGGAAACTGCTAAAGAAATGCTAATCACCTTGTGCCTCAATGATATACATTACACTATAGTGTGAACGTGATCTCTGTTTACATAACAGTCAAACAAAGACTAGGTGCTCCAGGCCGTCAGCAGTAGCGCTAGTTCTGATCATAGATAATTACCTTCTGGTATCTGTTGAAAGGCTTTTATATGGTTTGCTTTCGTGAGTTAATCAGAAGCTAATTTTCTTAAGTCTGTTTCAATATTTTGTTCACATTCTTCAAAAGCATTGAGGTGACTCGCATGCTATTAGAGTAATATGAAACCTGTGAGGTGTGTATTTACTTTTGAACGGGACTATTTTAACTTTGGGTAAAATTTAGGACTCTTACCTCACCCAAAGATTAAAACAAACAGAAAAATAGAGAGAGAAAGTGTAAAAATGGCCCCAATCTGTGTGCCTGGCTGATGACTGATGGGTGTTGGGCTGAGTTTAGGGAGAGGGGGAGGGTTTGTAGAGGGAGGGACAGTGTCATCAGGATTGGGGAGGGGAAGATCAACCTGATTCCTCAGGGAGTAAGGTGTCTCAACTACTCTCCTGAACATGGTAAATTAGCTGAAACCGTCAACACTAGCTATTCTGGCTCAGTGCTCATTATGGATGAAAAGCGATTTGTTTTATTTCCGCATTGGAATACAAAGGTGTGAGAACTTTGGGAAAAGTTTTATGTATAGCAGCAGTCGAGGACCTCAGGTGAGTTTCTGAGATGTCAGACATGCGGTGTCAGTTTGCTAAACTTCTTTGCCTCATTTCTGTCAGTTGATTTTTGCACACAATCTACATATGTGAATATCCAAAAGTGTGTTGAGGGTTTGTGTGATTTTATACGTCTTGTTATTTTGCTGTGGTAAGCATTTCTTTGGGCTACAGTCAAGCTGTTAGAAGTGTTACAGTGCAGCTGTATGTAACTCTTTGTTACTCTGTTTTTCTATTTCTAAATAGATAAATATTTCTCATATATAGTTCATGGTATCAAGAAAGCTGGTGCTACTAATTACTGATGTGAAGAAGACTGTGCAAGTGTACTTCACAGGGTCTGTATTTAATGACAATAGTAAGACAATTGTCAGTTTTTTAATTGACAGAAACCAATATTCTGATAACTATGATATTAATAATATAAAATGTTATTATTAATTAAAATCTTTGACTTGTCAATTACAACATGACCTCTCTTCTATGTAATCTCATTCAAAATTAAATTATATTTCTTTCTAAATACCTAGTACCATCTCATCCATCAAGGGCTTTTAACATGGTGTGGTCATTAGAGATTAAACATTTAACAATGATTTTAGTACATATTGAACCTTTTGTGGTATCACACATAAGAAGGTGGTGATGCATCTTGACGATCACAAGAAGGTAGTCACCTTAAAGGTTTAGTTCACACAAAAATCAAAATGCTGTCATCATTTGCTCACCATAATGTCATTCCAAATCCCTAAAACTTTTGTTCATCTTCAGACACAAATGAAGATCTTTTTGATGAAATCTGAGAGCTTTCTGTCCCTATGTAGACAGCTATGCAACTACCACTTCAAACTACTGTACACTTCAAAAAGTTAGTAAAGAGATCGTAAAACTAATCCATAATGAATTGAGTGGTTTAGTTAAAATTTTATGAAGAGACACAATTGCTTTATAAGATGAACAGATTGAATTTAGGCTTTTATTCACATATAAACATTGATCAACGAACATGAACAGACACTCAAACGTGCTTTAATACGAGAATGAACTTCATTGGTTCTCGCTGAAGCTCAAACGTGCTGTGTGACACAAGAACGAACCTCATTGGTTCTTGTGGACGCTCAAACGTGCTGCGTAACACAAGAGTGAACCTTATTGGTTCTCGCACAACAGGTGAACATGCTATAGTTTACGTTCATGTGTGACGTATGTGACTGCTGTATGAGTTCCCGAATGTTTATATGTGAATAAAAGCCTAAATGAAATATGTTCAGTGTATAAAGTGATCTTGATGAACTTCTTGAAGAGTTAAAGTGGTAGTTTTGTGGACTGTAATTGGACGGACAGAAATCTCAATTATGTTTTCATGTGTGCATGTTTGGAAAGACATGAAGGTGAATAAATGATGACAGAATTTTTATTTTTGGGTGAACTAACACTTTAAGGTGAACACACCATTTGTCTAAACCATCCATTCTCTGAATACCCCCCCCCCCCCCCTAATTTAGATAATTGCCTCCCTGTGGCACTAGGTGTGGACATGAGGGAATTTATGTGAGGTCCTCATGCCCATTTTACATAGACAGATATAGGGAAAACACACAAAGATGTTGTCAAACTTTCAGCATTTAAAATTTAATCTCCTATACAGTAGAAAATATACAGGTATGCACTCAATGCTTCACTTTAAACAACTGCATTCATCATAATATTATTAGCAGGCAATTCCTGTTCAAAAACATTATTTTGTTAAGATGTTATATTCAACGTCATTCGTAATGCTTCAGTGCTGTTGAAATAGCTGTTAAAATCACGCATCCATGGGCATGTTGATGCTTGGCTCTGGCCACAACTTTTGCAAACAATAAACTTACAGCAAGAGCCAATGTAATCCAGTAGTAACCCATGCACCACAAAGGATAAAAAATGTGCAGGTGAAAGTAAATCCTTTAAAAAGGAAGTGAAAAAATGCAGTATTCACAATATAAGGAGTGCAGTTTGTTCGCTTACTAGTGGTTTCCTGTAGTACGTTTTTAAACATACACTATAATGCTACAGTTTACTTTGATGTGACTTTCTTGAGTAGTCTTGTTGCTTGCTACACTTAAATTTGACTTATTACTAGACAGAAACATTACAAGAGTGATAGCATGCTAAACTGTTCAGAGTATCCTTAAATACCATTACATCTAACAAAACTGGCAAAGTGAGGACTTATAGTGAAATATGATCCGAGTGTGTGCTGCCTGTCTGAGCGTGTGGCAGCAGGTAGCTGTGAGAGTGTAGGCTGGAGGGCAGAAAACGGCACATCCTACTGCTAACAGACTCAGCCTGGGGGATTTCTCAACTTGTACCGGTTTGATTTCAGGAGATTTCAAAAGAGTTAAAAAGTATTGTTTCTGAAATGTACCCACGCAGAAACACTGGGTTTCCTTATCAGTTTGAGGTTTAACCAGTATAGCACAGATTATTATTTGTTAGTGCCTCTATCTAACATGCATTCCAGGAAATAATGCTCCATAACACCCCCCACCCACATTTAGAGAGATTTATGGCAGTTAAAACTGTTATCATACATTTACATATTTGTTCAAGTGCAGTTGTAGTTTTTGTGAGATAGTGAAACAATATTTGCCTCCTCTAAATTATATATACTTTCTATACTTTCAGTCGTGATTATTTAACTAAATGAAAATGTTATTTGAAATAAAAGTAAAAACTAATTTATCTGTTAAATGACAAAAATATCACAATTAACTTTGTTTTTTTTTTAATAAAGAATATATTGTAAAGGTGAATATATTATTTTTTAAACTAGGCTGGGTGATATGATTAACATTTACTGTAGTTGAATGAGTGGGTAAGGATAGGGAGATCAATTTCAGAGACCCCCCAAATATATGATTTTAATGCCTGTTTTCAATAGCGTTCCAGAGCACTTCATAGGTTACATGTCCCATTTCCATATGCTTATTATTTTTGACTTAGATAAAAAAAGACTGGCCTACCATGTGAAAATGTATCACCTGGGTTAAAGAGTTCTAGTGCTCTTCACACGGTCAAACAATGTAATAGCTTGTCAAGACATGTCAACTCAAAACAGGAGAAAAGAATACGTGACTATGGTTTTTTACTAGGTGAAACGGACAATGAGATGAGCGGGTGTGTGTGTGAGTTCCTGTTTTGTGCTTTCAGATTTTAGTATGTGTTTATATAATGGCCATTGCAATATTATTTTGTCATATCAGCTCATTGTAAGAGCATATATTGGCACAAGATGGTCTAATATGTAAATTCTTTTGCCTTCTCTTCAGGTCTGCGGGTCCATGTTGAGACGGTGAGAATGGCTTTCACAGACACAGCCATAATTCTCACTGTCATGGCAGTCCTAGGAATGTTAACCAGAGGTCAGGGGAGCCTGGTTAAAGACAACTCTCTGCTGAGGTTCACCCATCATTTGTATAATGCGAGCATTTATGAGAACTCTGCCCCCAGGACCTATGTGGAGAGCCCAGTCCGAATGGGCATCATTCAATCTGATACCTTCTGGGACATCAAGTACAAGGTTGTCTCTGGTGATGACGATGGCCTTTTCAAAGCCGAGCAGGAAACCGTTGGAGATTTCTGCTTTCTGAGAATCAAAACCAGAAGCAGTAACTCAGCTGTGCTGAACAGAGAGGTTCGAGACATTTACACTCTCACCGTTGAGGCTACAGAAAGTTCCTATGAGAACCGAGCTAGAACAAAGGTATTGATCCAGGTGCTTGACACAAATGATCTGAAACCACTCTTTTACCCTGCCTCTTATAATGTGCTAATCAAAGAGGACACACCGATCAAGTCAAGCCTGGTGAGAGTGACTGCTACAGATGCTGATATTGGCAGCAATGCAGACTTTTATTACTCATTCACCACTAGATCACACCCATTTGCCGTTGATCCTTTCACGGGGACCGTTACACTCGTCAAGAGACTTGACGCCAGTCAGAGAGACCGTTATGAACTTACAGTGCTGGCAGAGGACAGGACAAAGAAAATTTCTGGTGTGCAGAAGTTTGGAAATGTAGCAACGGTTGTTGTGACCGTAGAAAAGGTGACCGAAAACTTTACCCTCATTGCACCCACTAGTGCAGTAAGTCCGCAAACGGATGACGACAAAATAAGTGTGAACATCAAGATGGAACCCAAGGAGAAAGAGAAAGTGGCATCTTTGAGTATAGTTGAAGGGGATCCACTAAAGTGCTTTCAGATTATTCCATCAACTTTGCCTGATGGTGGCTTTCAGCTTGTCTCAACAAAATGGATTGACTGGTCACAAAACCCATTTGGACTAAACATCTCCCTGCAGGCCAAAGACAGAAGTAGCCGAAATGGTTTATTGCAAACACCAATACAAACTGTGCATTTCCATCCTCCTACTCATGTCAAACCCTTGACATTTGAACAAGAACTATACCATGTCTCCCTCAGTGAATTTTCCCCACCGAAAAGTCATGTAGTTAAAGTATCTGTAGGTTTGAGTGTCAAAAATACAACCTTCAGCATCAAAGAAAACCCAGACAGCTACAAATTCAAAATCAGTGCCAAAACTGGTGTAATTGTAACCTCTCAGTCACTTGATTTTGAAAAGCACTCCCATTATGAGTTTGATGTTACAGCAAACGATGGAGAAGCGGTTACCCGTGTCGTTGTGGATATAATTGATGAAAACGATAATGCCCCTAGGTTCACATTGCCTTCATACCAGGCTTCTCTGCCTGAAAATGTCCCAATTGGAACAAGCATCTTAGCTGTCTCTGCTATTGATGTGGACAAAGATAACAATGGTTTTGTGACCTACGCTATAGCAAACACAAGTCCTGTTCCTTTCACTATAGACCCACTGACTGGTGTGATTTCGACCTCCCAGGAGTTCGATTATGAGCTCATGAAGAGATGGTACCACTTGAGAATATGGGCCTCAGACAGCGGCAGCCCTTTTAACAGAGTAAGCGAATGCTCTGCAACCATCACCATGACCAACATCAACGACAACACTCCAGTGTTTGAGCGGGTGGCGTGCAATGCCTCCATCCCCCGACACTTTCCTGTGGGGCAAAGTATTACAGAGATGTCAGCACTCGATCTGGATGAGCTGCAGCAGATCAAATACAGGATAGAATCTGGGAATGACGAGGGACTGTTTGCAATTGACCCGGTTTCTGGCACCATTAAACTTTCTAGGGCAATTCCCGCAAATTATGAAGACACAGATAATCATTTTTATATACTTAAAATAACAGCAACAGATGGCAAATATAGTGCCGATCCCAATACCATGACCATACATATCACTGGCAAGGGCGAAAGCGCCACCACGTATTGCGAGGAGACTGGAATTACTAGGCAGTTGACAGAGAAGCTTATCGAGTCATTTAAGCCGTCTCTCACTGTCAAAGAAGACGAGTCTATCTCAGATGTTCATATAATTAACCAGCACTCTCCAAAGTTTATCATGGGCACACCGAGCTCGTTTGACATCAGGGAAGACTTTGCTCTCAATAGATCGGTGTTGCAGTTTAATGCCACTGATAATGACTCTGGCTTTAACGGAAAACTTGTCTATGCAATTTCCAGTGGAAATGAGGATGGATGCTTTACTATCGACATGAACACAGGGGACCTCAAGGTTATCAGTGCTTTGGACAGAGAGCAAAAAGAGTTTTACATTCTCAACATAACTGTGTATGACCTGGGATCTCCACAAATCTCTACTTGGAAGTTTCTTGCTGTCAACATTCTTGATGCAAATGATAATCCTCCATTATTTTCTCAGCCAAGATATGTTGTGAACATCCCAGAAAACACGGAGGTTGACAAAAGCATCTTCAAAGCCAATGCAGTCGATTTTGACTTGGATGACAATGGAGGATTTAAATTTTCATTGTTAACCTTTACCAATTTGTTCCAAATTGACGAAGTGACAGGGGTTGTGAAGGTAACTGGCCCTTTAGACAGAGAGACCTTTAGTAGGTATGACCTGAAAATTGAAGCCAGAGATCAAGCCAAACTGGACGAACAACTATTCTCATTTGTAGATCTGGTGGTCGTACTGGAGGACATCAATGACAATCCTCCAAAGTTTGCACCCACAATCTACAGAATCAAAGTTCCCGAGGACGTTCCTCCAGGCACAGTGCTATTGTGGGTCGAAAGCTTTGATTTTGATCTGGAGAGCGGAGGTCTCATAAGCTACAACCTAAAAAACAGTGAAGCAGGGACGTTTTTCCTGGATGCATCCACAGGCTGCTTGACTCTGGAGAGTGAACTGGACTTTGAAAGGCAGCAGTCTTATAATCTAACTGTTCGAGCTGTAGACCATGGAAAGCCACGGTCTTTATCGTCTTCATGTTTCATTGAGGTTGAAGTGTTAGATGTCAACGAAAACATGAACCGGCCTCTATTCACTCTTTTTGTGCACAACACAGCCGTTACGGAGGATGCTGAAATAGGAACTTCAGTCTTGACGCTAACGGC